AGATGTATCTAGTCTAACCATCAATGAGTAAACAACACCGGATTAGGTAATGATGGCCATGTTGATCTTTTGGAGGGAGTAAACCGTCTGTCCTTTTTCTGAGGAGCCATGGAGTGAAAACTTTCCATAACCCATGTCCTGTGGAAACCTTGCCGCTTCTTATATGGTTCCTGAGAGAAAAGGGTCCACTGGTCAGAGGAGTGATATTATGGAGGTAGAGTTTTCAAAAGAGAGAGAGGCCTAGGAAGGAAAACCTTCAGGAAAAAGGAAAAAACCTAGCTTCGGCAGGAAAAAAAGAGGAAAAGGGAAGGGAGGGTAAGAGTGAAAGAAAGGAGTATATAGAAAAGAGGGGAGAAGATAAGGGAGGAGAAATAAAAAGGTATAGGGAAGAGACATAGAGAGGAGGAAAAAGGGAAGACGAAAAAAAATAAACAACTCAAAAATTTCCTAAAAAGGAAATTTTCAAGCGTAGAAAGGGGAGTGGGAAAGAGTTTTTTTTTTTTTATAATAGATATTTAAATTTTTAATTTAGTTTATTAATTATTTATTGAAATACAAATAAAAAATTTATTTAAAAACTTTTTAAACAAATTGTGTATAATTTTTAATAATATTATTTTGATATTAAGTTAGTATTTAATTTGCTATAAGTTTAATAAAGTATATTATAATATATATATTAAATTTATTATAAATTAGTGGTATTTTAATATTATTTTATTATGAATTTAAAATTATATATATACAGTATATATAATTATTAAAAGTAGAAAAAAAATATTTATTAAAATTTATACATATATTATACTTTGGTTCTTAAAAAAAAAAAAGAATGTTTATTATTCTTATATTATTTACTTGTTAAACTTGTCAAATTTATTATATATTAATTATATTACAATTTGCAAATTATTTTTTTATCAATAATATTTAAGTTATGTAATATAAATATAATAAGATAAAAACAATCAATTTAATATTTTTAATAATTTATAATTAAAAATTTTATGATTTAAAAAAACATTTATAATGATTTTCAATTAAATTATTATTTAATAAAAAAATCAAGCATGTATTGTAAAAGATTTTGAAATCTATTTTATCAATCATGTTACTTTTAAAATTCTTAAAATCATAATATATTTAATGTGAAATATAATTTATTTTAAAATTCTAAAATGAATTTTAGTATGTAATATGCTTACAAATTATAATATATTATAAAAAGAAAATAAGTTTCAAATATATTTATTTTTAAAAAATCATATAACCAATATTACAATACTGTGTATTAAAAGAAATATCTAAATTGAATACATATTAATTTACGTATATGAATTTAGTATTGAAATAAATATAATATTACAAATTACTATTATTATTGGTTATTTAAAATTTTGAGATTCCCTTTACAATATAGATATCTTGGATATTCAGTGATTATAAGGTCAAATAATATTTCAAATCAAAAGAAAATATGTACTATATATTCTTCTTATGCCTGCGCGTTTTTACTCAACTACAAATAGCAGTCTCTATTATTATTATGTAATGCTATTCGCTAAACTTTTATAATATCGTACAACCTTCCCAAATCTATTTGTATTACTGCCGATCGTGTTTTCCGAGAACTTACAGTATCGTCTTTATTACTCTTGTGTTCATTGTTCAACCTGTTTTATCCTTATTTTTGATGGTTTGACTCGTAGCAAACTTTTTTTGATGATTCGTTGCATAAATTGCATATAGAGGTGATACATAGAAACAATAGAAATATCGAACGGTGGAATTTAAATTTTTTAATAAAATATTAAATTCCATCCTAGCGGTTATTGATATTTTCCTTCGCTAAAACGAAACTTGCATAAAAACATTTCGATATGATATTCTCATTTTCCCGGTTGGATCTATATCCTGGTCACATCAAACTAATTCTTTTAATTGGAATTTACTCGTTTCTTGGTCTCTCAAATTTTTGTGTTGATGCGTCAGAATATGATTTTACTGCTGTAACATTTGACAGAAGACCTTTAGAGATCGACAGGACGGATGTACCAAAACAAATTATAATTGGAAGTTCTTTAGGAGGTGATGATTTTGATTTACGGTAACAAAGATTTTTAAAGATCTAATTAATAAACATTTCACCATCAGGATCTAGTCATGTCAGGCCAATGTTAGAAATTGGCAAAATATTAACAGAACGTGGTTACAATGTAAGTGGTCAGGTCCGTCATCTGAAAGAATATCGTCTGGTTTCCATATAGGTACTGTAATAGACCATCTATTTTTCCGAATAAAAATAATTTCACTATTTGTCGATCGAGTCAATCAATGCGTCGAAAGTTATGTTTGACTAATTTCACTTGCCGTTCACCTCATACTCAGCAGGAATGAAAAAAACGTAATAACATTTTGTCTTCCTAATTTCGTTGTTATAAAGGTAACATTGGTGGCACCCGGAAATATTTTACCATCCAAAGAGTATCCTTCGATCAGTCAAATATCCACAGGTCCCACCATCGACTACATAGAGGAACCAATCTATCAACAAATATTTAACCTTCGGAAACTTTTCGTACAAAATTACATATCACATTTCAATGTTTATAAACACGTCATAGAAACCTTGAATCCGGACGTATTCATTTGCGACGTACTGATGAACGATGTTTGTTTGGATGTCGCTTGGATAAATAATAGACCAGTCGTTGGATTTGGAGAGGGATTATTGGGTGAGTAGTGTGGCATCTTTTGCGTATTCTGATTGAAATTTTGACTTTACGTAATTTGTTGATTGCATACCATCCCTTAAAAATCCAGCATCTACATTTACCTCCTATAGGTCAGAGGTTTTGTATAAATGTCATGTAAATATGGAAAACGAATCATTCTTGAACAGGTTCAGATGTGCCATAATTGAACCTGTGCGATTCGCATTTGGGATGTGGTCAATAAATGAAGATTTGAATAACATTCGGGCTCAGACTGGCGTGGATACTGTCATCAATACTTATGAGATAATCAAGAGTTCTTTGTTTTTGGCCAATACTTTTTTCGGATTTGAGGTGTGATTCTTTTTTTTTTTTTTACTCTGCAGGAAGGGTTTTGCGGTTTGTCTACAACTCATCCATGTAAAAACTTTAGGTGCCACATCCAATGTCTCCACTTGTTCAGGTATTTCATGAGATGTTTAAGTTTTTCTTGAGAAAAAAAATCATAGCTAAGTTCTGTCACAAAATTTAGGAAATAGGGCCGGTGATGCAAGATGAATACCCAATTCTTACGCCAAATCTCTTATCCTTTGTTTCCACTCACAAAAAAATTCTATACGTCTCCTTTAGTGAGGAATTGTATACTTCCCTGGAAAATAATGTTATTCTCTTACAGACATGCGCGGAGGCCATTCAACAAAAAATTATTGATGGAGTGATTTGGTCCTTCATCAACCCATCATTTGATGAGATTCTCCTCAAAACCATTACTCTTTCCGATGGGACATCACTTTCTACCACCGAAATTTTATCCAACCAACACCCAGACATTCTGGTCTCCAGATTCACCTCACAATTTTCAGTACTGAACCACACAAATGTTAAGGTATTTTTGAGTTCTGGTGGATACATGAGTTCGTATGAAGCCTTGTATACTGGAACACCAATGTTGGTTATGCCAATCGAATTTAGAGATTTAAATAATGCCGAGAAGTTGGAAAGATTGGGTGTGGGATTGACAATTAATAGATTAAATTTAGATGCGAAAGATATCTTGAGTAAGATTAAGTTATTGCTCGCGGATCAAAGTATACAGAATAATCTGAAGAAGACAAAGGTGTTAACAAGAGTTAATAGCAAAAGAAAATATAGAGCAGCAGATTTGATTGAATTTGTAATGCATGCACTGACATTAAATCCTAATGATAGCTTGGATGTTGATGGGGGCGAGATTGGAGGTGGGAGAAATTACGATGGGTTATTAAAAGAGTGGACAGCTCCAGAGATGAGGATGGGTTTTTTTAGAGGAAAATATTTTGATATTTATATAAGTTTCTTGGGTGGGATAACGATTGTGACATTTGTAATTATGAGATTTTTTTTGAAATGTTGCTGTTAAGCACCATTAAGCTGATCGATAATTTTCCCTTTAACATGAAGCATTACTCATAATACATTCAAGGGCGTGTGCGTTATAGAACTATTTTTTCCTAAATTCATTTATTAAATTACATTTAATATTACCTCAAATTTTTATTGTTTTCTACTGTGTTCTTAACATGAATTTTCGAATGATTGTATATCAAATCGAGATAGTTATATCGTCAGCTCAGTTAATGAGGATAGAATCATAGAGAAAAAGTAAATAATAAATTCTATGTTATTTAATCTAGACCTCTATAATCGATATCATTTAATACTTGCAATATACAGTGTACGTGAAAAGTAAGACGCGACGTCCGTCATGTATCCAATCATCGCGGAAGTATAAATCGGTTCTTGCTCGTCAATAGCATGGTTATTTAATACAAGGGTAAGAAGAAGGGATTGTGAAAATTGTTATATTATATTCTGTGCAATTGAGATTGGGGAAAACTTGTCAAGTTAAAACTTAAAGTGATGATTATGCGATATCTGTATATATATTTTATTGTTTATAAAGCTTGTATATTTTCTATATAAAAAATACATCGGAAATAATTTTTAAAATACACAAACAAAAATAAGTTTAATTAAATACGGTGTGTGGTAATTTATTGGATTTAATGTCATTTATCATATGTTATACGGTATATTTTTAATAAAAGATTTAATATTTAATTTCAACCCCAACATTATACTTATGTAAAAATACTAAACTTTTTACATATTTTACTTAGCCCTTAAACAGTTGTCCTATAGTTTCATGATTTTAAGTAATATTATCAAAACTCAATTAACAATACAACTTCTCCAACAGCTGTCATTATAGTTTTACGGGTCCAGATAATATAATCAAAATCCAAGTCTTAAAAATTTCTATCAATTATTATATTAATATAGCTGTTTATGAACAGATATAAGCTATTTATAAACCACTTCTATTATAATTTCACATATGTGGTATTTTTATTGTTTTAGAAGTTTTTTATATAACAGGCTAGTATTAACTTAAATAGATACTTAATATAATGACTGAATTATTAATTAATCAATAAAGTTTCACATTTTATGCTTGTTTGCAATAAAAAAAAAAATTAAAAGTATTAATTTATTTGTATTTAATTTTTTTTTTTAACCCACAATCAGACTGGTATCATATATTTATTAAATTATAGAGAACCATTACATGCATGAGAATACATACAAAGTACAAATTTCCTTGACCCAGCTCACCCATCTTAAGCCTAAGCCTCTAGATGTGATTTATAGAAGTGATACGTTGCTAGCCTGATAGTTAGGATTAAGATCCAATTGTACCATGAGAATTATATCCTGCAGATCATCTCTACAGTCACAACCATAAACCCAAATTGTGTTGTCCCCCTTTTGCAAAAATACACAAGAGGCAATGAATAAAAAAAGAAATAAGGATAGAAAAAACAGCACAAATGTGCACAAATAAAATAATATATAAAAAAGAAATAAAAGCTATTATCTATTTTATTTATTATTGAAATAGTATCTCAGTGGACAAAATCCAAACCCCTAATGAATACTCACTTGTCACTACCTGTGGTCAGTTAGACTGTTTAATTTCCATCAAAGCAGGTGATATCCAAGAATGTTTAAAGGTACTTCCTGAAAAATATTTCTTGAAACTTTACGCTTGGAGACTTCTGACCAGAAAGGATATTGGTTTTTTATTGTTGATTTTTCTCCCAAGCCATGTCTTTCTGAAATTATTGCTTCACTTAACCAGTGAATAATTTCAAGATCCCTTTCTTTAACCATTTTCAGAATAGACATTGATACTTCAACTTGCTGCCAGATTGGGATAGGATTTGAATCTTGTAGTTACTTTCAGTTCTTTAGGTAGAATAGGAAAAAAAAAAGAGCAAATAAAAGGAAAAAACAAAAAGAGAATCATTCTTCCTCCACTTACAACTTCAACTTTCACCCAGAACTCCCTTACTATTTCTTCAACTAAAAAATCTTCTGACTCTTTCTGGAACTAATTACATCATCGATTTGGTTTTATGCGACTTGGAACATGTGAGAGGACATGTCTTGTTTACTTTTTCTGTGACTGACATAATCAACCAATCTGTGACCTTGACCAATCATCTTGCAGGAAAATCTGGTATAACCAAAAATTCAGAGTCAAACTAAAGTAAGCAAAATTCCCCAGAAAAATCAAAAAAAAAGAAACATACTTGAGAGAAAAGAAGTTAAAGCCAGAGAGATGATATAAAGGCTAGAGGCTTTTTTTTCTTTATTTTTCTGGGCTTTTAAACCTTCTAGGGGTCTTTGAAGGATACTTTTTCTTATCAGTTTTCTTCCTAGAAAGATGTTCTTGCCTAGACCTTTTGAATATGTTTCTTGTATTTAGTTGCAAAAATATGCAAGGTGTTTAAAAAAGAAAAGGAAAACAAGTGATAGCTACTGCTCGCTCTGCTAGTTAGGGAATCAGTGTTGTTAAGGAAAGTGTATAGACTTTATTATCAAAAAGATATAAAATCTTTTGAGAATGTCTGTTTTTTGGATTGATAAATGGATCAGTGGAAAGATTTTTTTTTATTTATTTGTATTTAATTTAACAATATTTTATTAAAAAAATATGTATATAAATTATATGTATATACAGTATTAAAAACTCTTTCCCATATACAACAGATTTTTTAAAAATTTCCTTTTTTGAAAACTTACAAAATGAAAGTCAAGGAAAGATGACAAGCTATAACAGAAGCTCTAAATCTTTCAATAATCCACTCAATAACAGAACATATCTTAAGATATAAGAGAAGGGCAAGGAAAGAACCAGACCCAATCAGAACTTAACCATATGCAAAGAAGCCCATTACTACAGTAGTCAAGAAATCCATGCAACAACCGATCAACTTAACTCCTAACACTCACCAACAAACTACAAAAAACATCACCAACTCCACCATACAACAAGAAATAATATAACAAGAAACTCAATAATAACAGAACACCAAACATCCAATCCAGCAGAGCCAAGATTCAACAATATCGACAGTATCCTGGAGTGACATAGTAGAAACTCATCTCAGTACAACCAACAGACCAGAAAATCAACAAGAGAAACCAGAAAATCAATAAGAGAAACCAGAAAATCCTATTAATAAAGAACATCTAACAGCCAGAATCAATGACACAGATGAAGAGATAGAAACTAAAGAAGGAAGCAATCCAGAACAGAGATAGTTCTCAATCTCCAAAAGCAAAAACAAAGAAAGTAATAATGTGCAAGGAAAACCAAGGCCAAGATCACTATTCGATAGAACAACTAGATATGGACAGGAATACTACAAGGTCGGCATTTCAGCAAAACTAGTCAAAGAAAGAACAATACACTAAAAACTAGAGCACATTATTCTAGCTCTCAACTTCCCAGAAGGACTTCTCACAATATGAAGTAAAGAGAAAAAAGAAACATAAAAATCATTGCTATTTTCGCAGATCAACATGCAGAAGATCATGCAACAACCATTGAGCTTCCAGAAATGGACAACAACAAGCTAACACACATGGAAACTGGACACCAAGAAATCAATAAAGGAAACTTTATTGTAGTATAGAACATTCCTTTGAACACAAAACTCATAAAAGTAAAACAAGCTTTTGTCAAACATGGCCAAATATAAGGAATCACAATGAGAAGTAAAACAAGCTTTTGCCAAATATGGCCAAATACAAGGAATCACAATGAGAACTCAAAATTTGTGACAATATGCTACGATCACCTTCAAAGATCAAGAATCCAAACACAAACTAGTTAATAACAGAAGTATTTTAATCAAAGAAGACTCAGTAAGAATTAATAATACTGTTATGATAAAATACAGCAAGTCTGTCGCTTCTGTTCTGTCTATGCCATACTATGTTTGAGAATGGTTTTTCCTCAAAAGAGACGTGTATATTTGGTTTGAGTTTAACAATGACACCAGTCAATCCGTCGATCGTGTATTGTAACTGCCAACCTCCTGCATGGTCACTTCTTTATTTAGTAACACTCTCAAGATAGATAACCTTTTTAGTGTGCAGTGCCTATCCTTCTTGATTGCTATATTTTTATATCATCATCTTATTTTTATACTTTTATGCCTGATATAATTTAGCCAGCTTTGGACTTATTATCCAACTTTATACTTGTTGTCTATATTGTACTTGATAATTACTTGTTATATCTGCTAGATATTTAAAGATACTAGAATATACTAGAAATACTAGATATCTTTTGCATATCTATTATATTACTTTTTATATTCTACTTCATTTTACTTTTATTTTTCTCATTATTTATATAGTTCATTTTTCACTTTAACAATACAGAATGAACTCTTCAACAAATAAAACAAAGGCATGAGATTACAGCAAAGCTCACAAACCTCCCCCCTAACACAACAGCATGTGATATCAAAAACATTCTCATACAATGCAAAGGACGCACATGCTACATCCCAAGATCAGCAAACAGGGGTTACAAATCCAAACAATTTGCAGTCATCAGCTTCGAAATTCAGGAAGATCTATTAACAGCAGTACAATCACAATATCAGCAAGATGAAACAATTCTCATATTCACTTCAATCTTAACAAAGCTCTGCACAATTTGTAACAAAAACACTTACTTGGCCAAAGACTGCCCCACTAAAGTAAGGTGCCTCCAATGAAACACATATAACAAAAACCAGGCAACCAAGTATAGAAATCTGTATAATAAATTTAGACCAGAAAAACCTTGATAATTTGCAATATCAACAAGCCAAGAATGCCTAGAATTCCACAAGCAAAAACTTATACAGCAGCAGTATTTCTCATAAACAGATTAGAACAAGAGAATCTAAAAACTTCTAAAGATATTAGCAACATTCTTAGAGAAATCTAACAACAACTAAATGCTATTAGGCAGCAAGTGGTAGAATTGGATAAGTGCATCACCAACCTAGAATA